CATACCTACTGGAATAGAAGACTGCTGTAAGAGGTGCAAAATCGACATGAAAGAGTTACCAGAAGGAAATCCATTTCTAGTTGTGTATGGCATTGGATCTTGTCGTACTAAACTTATAACAACTCCAAAATCTTTTTATGCTTGCTTGTATGAATATTACAGAGAAAAACGTTCAATGACATACAAGAACTTCTTTAACGAGGACTGTCATTAGTCAAAGCGAGAACAGTGTTGTTATTTTGTATTCATTTTTTTTTTTTTACTTTAGAGTTGATAAATTCTGTGTTACTCTCATACTGCATGAATTTGTAACAGGGTTGATGTTGGGTTGTTAGTGAAAGTTACTCCGTGTTACCCTGTGTTACATGTATTAGTAGTTGAGAGAGAATTCCTTTTTTTTGTACTGACAATGAAATGAATAAAACATACAACAATAACATACAACAATAAGACTTTGAGACACATGTTGAAATTAATGACAAGAATGTGTATTTTTCTTTTCATGATGTTATTTACAATATTGGTTTTGTGTGTGTTAAATGTCCTCAGTGTTAATGTCTTTTTTTTGTTTCTTTAAAATTTGGGCTTACTTGTCTATATTTGTTCTGAAAATTTCCTGGTTAAAGGAAGCTTTTGAAACCATCAACTCTGGATTTTCATGGAGCAAAGAAGATAAGTCTTGTCTATGTTGTTATTTTTACTACTGCTATTCTTGCTTATAGTGGAAAGTTTGTTTTTATAATGATGAAATTTCAGATCTTTATTTCTAGAATGACGAAATATCATCATCATCATGAATCATAACAAGCTACTACAGTCAAAGAAAATGGTGCGAATCATAAACCTGAATTTAAATTTGGGTTTCTTCAGCTGATAGTAAACCAGAAGGGGGAGAAAATTGACCTTTTGATTGTTTGTAGCTTATACATGAACCTGAAGTTTTTATTCAGAATAATATGCACCCATTTCCAAAGGTTGTGATTCAAGCAAAATGTTTCTTAAATTTGTTCTTACAATTTCTGTTTGATTTTAAGCATATTCTTTGTATAATCAAACTTTGGCAACGTTTAACCTTCCTGCTTGGGAAAAAAATGGTGTATTAAAAGAGCAGTTTTTCTCTTGACACTCCTATTATTTTAACTACCTTCAGAAATGTTTATTATTTTAAAAAGTGATGATTAGAATTCTAATAAAACCTAACTATATAGGGAACAAGCTTAAAAGAACACCCTATCAGGCAGCATTTAAGCTAGCTCATGCAAAGGGCTCTTGGTTGGGCCTTCATTATAATAGGTAGGGAGGAGTAGATGCAATAGTTAACAATAAACTACAGAAGAACTCAAAACTGATTGTTGCATTTAAATATTGTATTAATATTTAAGCTTACCTTTTAAAAGTTCGATGATAATTCTTCTACCAGCACTTAATTCAAAGACAATTTGATGTACGGAAAGTAAGGACTTTTCATACAAACAATTATTTTTTGACTTTTGCTGGATTTGCAATTAATTTTGATTATTCCCAAATTTATTTCCAAGTTATAAAAATTGTTATCATACATAAAAATTTGTTGCAAAAAATCATGTGAAAAAAATCACTAAAAATAATTGCAGAATCAAAAATTTCAGGATTGCAGGTTCAGATCCAGTCCAGAATGTTTTTAATTTGCTCATGGAGTCAGTCTGATTCCAAAATGGTATGATATGTTGGGCTACAGCCTCTAGGGGTAAAGTTGAAAAAGTGTGACACAGTGACACACTGATATTCACATTTATTATAAAGAAGTTCTTGAAAATTTACAACAAAAATATTTAGACACTATCTTATTAGATTGTTTATTTACAAGAATAATTTTATATTTACAACATTCTAAGAACTAATACAATTTAAAACTAATGCAATGGAATATTTATCATTTACCAATTTATAAAGAAATAAACATGAAAACAATTTTTTATTCATAAATTTATCAGCATTTACTAAATTATTAAAATATGTGTACCAACTATAAGGAAATCCATATTATCAACCATTTTATAAAGTTCAAATCAATCAACTGATGTTTTTCCAACCATTACAATAAACAATCTAATAAATAGTGTTTATTTTTTTTGTTGTCAATTCTCAAGAACAAAGAATATGTATAAATTCACTTTGATCATATATTTAGATCTTATTAAAATTCTAAGCATTGCTTTTTAAAACAATAAACATTGCTAAGGAGTGAAAGTAATTAAACAATAGCAGTGAAGGAAAAAAAATGTCCTTTTGACATACCACATCTTTGTGGGAATGAGTGTTAAAAATTGCCCAAACTTTTATGTGCGTCAAAATATTCAATTAAAACAAATTACCATAACAAAAAGCATCTTATATTTAAAAACTGTAAAATCTCCTAATGAAAATAAAAAGACTAATAAAATGTAAAATATTGAATACCAGCTGTTGTTGTCTATAATTCAACATTTTAACATTTGCAATATTGTGGACATTATTAGATTTCCTCATTATTGGTCACACATAATTCACACACATATTTAAGTTGGCTTTCATTGCATATGGATAATGTAACCTAAAACATAGGCTAACATCTTTTGACATGTTTAGTCATCATCATACTTTAGCTGTTCAATGAGATGCTTATAAATTTATGTGAGCATTCATCATGTATCAGTAAAGAAACGTAAACATAGCCTTACATGTTTTGCTAAAAACACTTCTAAATTTAGACGGGCTTTCATCACATCTGGATAAGAAAAACTGAAATCACTCTGTGACATATTTTGGACCATACAACTACATACATACACACACACACATACATATATATATATATACTATTAATAAATATAGATTTTTTTTCACCATTTGGTACAATTCTGAGTTTCATCTGAAAAACTAATGAAATAAGCACTCCAACAATGGTAAAAGGACTACAATGCCTCATTGGATGTCTTGTTTGGAACTGACAATTCCTTCATGAATGAATTTGACCTTACTTGTTCTTCACCCTGATATTTTTTATACACACACACTCAAACGGCCAGCAAACTATTTTTTTGACTAAAAAAAAATAATAAAGCCTTCAAAAAATCAAGATGTGCCTTTCTTCACCACCAATCATCTCATTTACCACCTTTACTGGACTCTTCATACTTACCATTCACTACCTATAAATCAGATTGAGATCAGGGGAACCTGTGTTTCAACATGACATGGCCATAAGCCATAATAATGAGAAATATAATCATAGAGTATATGAGTGAATAATAGATTTATATTCTTATTTCTATTTGAACTAATATCCATATCACTGTTGTTATTGCAACTTTTCAGCTGTTATGGCCTCTGGCTTTTTTCAGGTATTTGTTGATCCCAGTAACTTTTAGGGAATTCCAAACTAAACTTTTATTTAATTTACAGGGGTAGATTTTTTTTTTATTCAACTGTCCATGTCTAGGACAATAGCCTAGCAAATTAAAGCATTAGCTCATAAATTTTTTAGTATAGTAATTGTGAGTTCAATCCCAAGGCTGGTTAGAAGAAACTCAAACTCAGGAGAAATTGGATAATGAGGCAGGTTGATTTTGGAAACGTGGTATTGCACTAAATTTGAAAGTTGGAATTTGACATGATAAATAAAGACACAAAATATTTTTTCCAAATTGTTACTATTTTTTGAGGAAACAAGTTTAAAGATTAAATTTAGGTTCAAAACCGTAGCGTTGGAATTTCATTCCGGTGATCAGTGAAAGTCTTATAGCAAACCCTTGTAAAATTTATAACTTACTGAAGCTTCAAAAATTGTATATGGACAAGATGCATGGCACAAGCACATTATTGCTAAATCATTGAACTATCAAATAAGACCTACATTTACTATGAAACAGAAATTATACTGAACAATTTAGCTATATTATGATGTAATATTTTATACAGTGCAGTAGATTTAGTGTGATTTTCAATAAACAATGCAAATTTAAAACATTTTGTCTTATAGTTTGTGCCCAGCAGTGTTATGGTGTTATATACACTTTTATCTATTTTTTGTTTTAATTAAGATCAAACATATGATCTAATAAAACTTATTCATTGAGTCGCCTTTTTGTAATCTTTTACAATTTTTACACAGTTTTTACTTATCAAATACAATAAAAAAAATACATATTTTGCTTGTGGCAATTCATAATTAAAATTCTGGTTTGAATATATTTTCCATTCAGTGTATCTAATACAAAAGATATCAACTTTATTTGGATTTATTCTTGAAATAGTAAAATTTTGGAAGTCAGTTTGTAAGCAAAAACCTGCAGAAATTAGGTGTTTCCGTACATTGTTTTCAGACTATCTTTAAAACTAAATGCTCAAAAATTGGTGAAAGCTATGAATCTAACTTTTCATGCCAGTACTTATCATATCAAACCTCAGCTTTCATACTGAGTGTAGTTTTCTAGAAAAGTGAAAAATCAACCTGCCCTAATGTGGCAAGCAATAACTCATCCATACTAAATATGAAGAAGATGAAATATCCCTCGACATGGACAGCAAAATGAGAATATTCTACCCCCATAAATTAAATAAATGGCTCAGTTTGAAATTTTCTGAAGTTTACCTCAATTGAAAAACTGAAGAAGGCCAGAAGGCACAACAGTCAAAACGTTGTGATAATAACAACAAAGATGAGGACATTAGTCCAAGTGTAAATCATAATCACAAAATATGCTTTTCTGATACACTGGGGGAAATATTGTCAGTGATGTTTATAACCAGGATCCTCAGGGGATTCAAATCTTTCAATATCAAACCCTTTCCGTGATTGACCCAATTAGCATTGATTGCACCTTAATACATCTCCCCACAACTAGATACCACTTCATACACCCCCATTTCCACTTTGGTAGCTTGATTGGTGGTTCTGAAATCTTATGACATCACCATCAACCAATGACTTTCAGGCATTGACCAAATGCCCTCTGTTTAATTCTGAGTTGCAGCCACCACACTGAAACACCCGTTCCCATACAATCACCTAAGTTAAGCAACATCGAGCCTGGTTAGTACATAGATGGGTGACCACTTGGGAATACCAAGTGCAGTAAGCTTGGATGTGCAGGGGATGTAATGGATAATGGATCAGAATTGTTAATCGAAGAGCCAAGTTTCAATTCCCATTGTGTTCATTATATTCACTTACACACAAATACCCTTGGGAAAAGGTATGAATCCACCTCATCTCCCTCCAGCTACAGGTTAATTAGTAAGACTTGTATCACTAAACCATTATTATCTCCCAAAAAATTCTTAGAATCTAAAAATATCTTCTGGCTTTAAATAACCTGCAAAGGGTCGATAAGCCATAAAAAATGAATCAATCAATCAACAACGATGAGAGGAACCCTCCACCCTGGCTGCTGACTTCAGACTTGTATTATTCAAGATTAGAAATGACAAAATCCTAAAATGAAACTAATTCTTTTATTCCTTGTTGAATCTGAGATTCTGGATGAAAAGAATTCTCCTTGTACTGAAACAATCTCTTCTCTACTTTTAAAGGTCTTTCTGCACTATCTCACAACAGTAGGCACCAAAAATAATTTATTTATCAAAAACATTATGATCATCATTAGCAATTACAAAATCCCAGCATAAAAGCCATTATTTGAGTACTTCGACCTGGTTTAATGGTTAGCAAACTTTTTTTACTAGATCAGTTATGACTGAGTAGTGAGTTTGATCCTCACTGGGTGCCACATATTTTCAGCTTTATGCCTCATCTGAGCTATGCTTAGAAAACCATTTCAGCACGCAAACATTGTGTAATGGTTAGCAAACTTGTCTCACTAGATCAATTACGACTGAATAATGAGTTTGATACTTACTCAGTGCTCCATACTTTTGACCTTGTGCCACATCTGAGGGCAGCTTAGAAAATCCCACCAGAAAATCCAATATTTGGTTCCATGTTGAAAGAATCTGAGATTCTGGATGAAATTGAAACAATCCCTACCCTACTTTTCAGGTTTTGTCCTAAATATTATTCCAGTGAATTAATTGAATGGAAATCCAAAAGTGTTAACCCAGTTCAACAAAGACGAGTTTTTTTTTTAATAATTAAAAATAAAAATATCCAACACAATCTAATATGAAACAAAACAAATAAAAAGTAATACATGAGCAAATTGCTAAATTGATATTCCATTGTTATGGTAACACAAGTTATATTCACTTAATGGCTTATGTTATCTTAGAAACACAATATCTCATTAAATAAATAACATCAGAGACTGATAAATAAAAATCATGTGTTTTATTTTAGAACAGATTTTTACAAAAAGCAACAATTATAATATGTTTTTGTATTTTTTAAGATGATGATGTGAATAAACCCTGAAATATAAATAAAATCAATTACGTTTTCTTATTACTTAAACTAATGTTGATTATCTTCAAGCATAACTTTGGAATTTATTTCATTCTCTCTATATTCTTTACAGCCATTTACTAAGAAATTGGACTGACGATGGACTGTAGACTGGTCATGCCAGCATTTTTAGTTCTATCACTGCTGTTCTGGGTAGGAATTCCAGTCAGCTCTGGACAAATCTTCAAAGACAATGGTGTCAACTGCTTCACAAGTTGTATGACTTGCTTCATGACAGGACTGAAATGTTCTTCCAAATCACTTCCTTCTGGTTCTGTATCCTGTCAGAAAGAGTGCTATATTTCACCAGAACGATTACCAGGGAACAACGATATAGGAATTGTGTCAAGCCTGTTCTACTGTCGGAAAGGAGCTATAGAAGAATCCATACTGGATCAATGCCTTATAGATGATTTAATCAAGTGGTATCCAGAAAAATATCCTCAGTTCCTCAGACTTAACGAAACCAGACAATCTCATTTTATGTGAGAGAACTCTTCTTTTTTTTTTTTGAAAAGTTGCTGTGGAACATGCACCTTTTACTGTGATATCTTCCATTTCTCTTTGCTTTCTATAAAACTATATGGCAGAGCTGGTGAAAGGGTTTCATGCCCCCCGAATTTATGATACAGCCCCCCACCCATTCTGTATGTGAGAAAAAACACACACACACTACTCCATCTTAATTTTCATAAGATAGTATCCATATAAAATACAAATTTTGTAATTATCTACAATATTGGATCATATGCAATATAGGTGAACAATTCAACTAGAAACATTGAAAATAAATACAATATATCTAAAAATACAAATTAGAGACATGTCATAATAGACCATCACATCTTAAATAAATCTTTTGTAGCAATTTTTAACATCAACTTGAGATTTTTCTTGTTAAAAAATTAAATAATTTTAACACCTTCAATATTATGGATAAAAAATAGTGAATTTTATATAGTGTTTTTTCAAGACTTAAAACAAATTGAGCAAAAAAACAAAAACAAAGATTTTGAAAAAATGTCAAAAGAAAAATTTTTCATCTTTTAATAGTCAGTTGTACTTAGTTTAATTTGTAATGTATATAAATATAGGTAGAAAAAGCAAATGTTGATAAGATAGTGAGGGTAACAAAGCACTGCATGGAGCCCCCAATCAAGTTCCCCTTCCCAGTCTGGGGTTTTGTTAGCACTCACCAGCTCAGGTTTAAATGTAAAAGAAAACTATATAAACTGAATTTAAATAGATTAAAATCTACATTTTTATTGGTTTCTTGTGGCTGTAAATATCACTTATTGGGTATAACTGATTTTACAAATACACAAATTTGATAATTGTAATATTGTGTAAGATCCATTTAGAGGTTATTTTCTGCTTGAAATGGATATGAGTTAAAGAACTGTTTTACAAGAACCACAATAAAACATTTGAATGAGCTGCTATGTTTTTGTTATCTATTTTTCATGCTCTTTTTTAAGTTTATCTAAAGAATAAAAGAAATTTGATTTAAATAAGGTCTTTTTTTAAATCATTTCATTCCAAGCAAGGTGATAATGCCACTAGAACACAGGGGAGTTACAGGAAGTGAAAGTGAAAGTGAATGAGAAGACTGAGAATGGGGAGGACTGAGAAAAGGACAAAAAAGGAACAGGATTCAAGAAGATAGAATATGGCAATTGATGCTGCATTTAAATGTTTGAAGATTGTAGTTATCAGGGAAGCTAGAATTCAGAAGAGAGTTTCACAGGTGAGAAGAATGAAAAAAGAAACTGAGTAGAAATGGCAGTTGCATCTTGCTAGTTCAACAGTAAAACAGTGAGATCTAGTTGCCAATCTAGTAGCACACTTAAATTCATATAGTCAAAGCACCAGGAAAAAAAACTGGCCAGAGCAGTTGCCATGAAAATATTTGTAGAAAAGACAGACGGAAGCCATGTTGCATCAGTGAGAAATTAACTGAAGTCAAGATGTCTGGTCAGGATTGATTACATTACAGATTCTTTGAATTTTATCAAGAATCTCAAGATATATAGTAGGAGTACCAGATCAGATATGGACACAAGAAAAAGTATCTGTATTTCAAACTTACAAAATTATGCATTAAGTGCTGAATAAGAAAAAAATGAATGAAAATAGTTTATAATTTTGTTAATAAAAATATGTTAATTAAAAATAGATAGTTTACAATTTTAATAAATAATTTATAATTTATACTAATAATTTATAATTTATACTAATAATAGTTTAATAGATAGTTTATAATTTTAAATCTACTTAAGAGAAAATATCTTTATGCTACTCTAAAAAGTCTAAAAACTATAGACTCATAACTTGAGTATATGACATCCATTATTTTTATGAGACCAGGGATCTGAACCTGGGCAGTTTTTATTCAGCTGATATTGGCATTGCAGATTTTGTTATGGCTGTACAGACCCACAAACGTGTGGCAGTCTTGACTATAGTAACTGCACATGTTTCTTTGTTGCTGTTTTTGCAATGACTTGGATGTTTACTTCCACAGCAATTCTCAGTCTTACTTCTCACTTCAGCTTTCAACATAGTTCCCATCTTTAGCGAGTGAAATTGTTTACAATATCTTCCTATCTTTCAATCTCCAGTGACTTCATGCTTCTTTTGCAGACAACTTTGAAACAAAGATGAAGTTACTTTCATGCTCTCTTGTTGGTGGCTGACTCTTTAAAGAGCAGGTCTTTTGGGGTCCCTCACACATCTGACATTCAATGTCAGTCAACAGATGATGCTACTAAACCAAAGTGAAGACCTATAACAATTCAGATATAATGATCATTTCTATTCAGAATTTTAGTCAAACAGATAGCTTTTAAATTTCCAAATTTAAATAAAAAAAAATAAAAAACATTTTCTTTTTTATAAACAAACAGTAAATGAAAACATATATATATATATTTTATAATAGTAGTGTGGACTGAAAAGTTCATAAACTGATTTAATAATTTTCTTAATAAAGAAAAATAATACAAGCAAAAAATTAAACAATAAGTAGGTATCTTCAAAGATTTGCTAAAAATTGAGCATACATGATAAAAAGATTCACATTTATTCATGTAATATTATATCTATTATCTCTTCTTTAGATCAAGCTGTCAATGTGTCAACACCTCATAAAAACACCCATCTTCTTGTTAAAAATGCTTTTCTGCAATATTTTAAACAAAAAGTAAGTAATATTTGTTTCAATTCAAATTAATTAAAGTTTAAATCAGTTAATTTTTATCAAATAACATGTCAGAAAACTATATTTTATTTTTGAAAAATTTTTTAATAAAAAGAATTATGTCGTGTTGACAGATTTGTCAATATGGATGATTTTAACAATTTTATTGATGATCAGAAAAAGTCATTCCAATCATTTTGGTTTGAAATACAGCAAAGTATTTTGCTTATTGGAAATAATTAAATTTAATCTATTAGCTTTTCAATTAAAATAAAAGCTTTATAGTGGCGTGGTTTTCAGGGTTAAAATGAACAATTGATTTACCCATGCCAAAATGGTTAAGGAAAGCAGATAATGACAAGGAAACACACGGGTTATTTTTAACAAAACAAGAAATTTATTCATGAATTTACATGCTTGAAGATGTGTTAGTAGCTCATTTCAGGAAAATAAGTCACAAAGTCTTAAAGTCTGTAGTTT